TGCCAATCAAATTAGATTATGCGTGTCAAGCCCTTAAAAGAGTGCCTGGCACATGATAAATTCTCACTAAACATCTGTTGTTGTTGTTGTTGTTGTTAATCTCCGCCAACAATCCTTACCCATGGTACCCAGGACCACAGCTATCACCAGTATTATCAAGCACAGGATTCCCAAAGTCACGGCGATGAGACGCCAAGGAGGAGAGGCAGCACGTGTCCCTAAGGAGCCAGGAGCAGAAATTGCATAAAGAGGATGATGGATTGTGAGGCACTTTAATTCAATAGTTCCTCAAAATCCGGCCAGTTCTAAAAGAAATTGTTAACCCTGGGGCCTAGATGACTTAGTCATCAAGGATTAATCTGATCTTTCTCCACCTATAGGGTACCTCTTCTTCAGTTGCTGGAACTGTAATTTTGGCACCTTGCTTTGACATCTGTACTCTACTAATCTCAGCTTCACATTGATGTCTATAGGTTTTGACACTGCTAGGATTTCTGAAGTCTTACTCATTCTTAGTGTAAACATCTGAAGGCAGGGGAAATAGCACAGATTACTAAGGATAATTTTCCCTTTTTATTTATTTGTCAAATGACCCATGGAAAATTATTTCTTCTGTTTTTTTTAAATTTCTCTTTGGAAAATTGGGGCAACAACATCTCAAAGGATGATTGTAGGAATTAAATGAGGCTGTACCTATCAAAGTACTTCGTTTGGAGATGACTAGCACATCTCAGGTTTATTATTACAGAATACTGTCTCCCACACATATGCACAAACACACATGCCTCCTGACCTCTTGCCTCATCCAATTTTTCCATTCTTCCCCAATAGGTTGCCCAAGAAAAGAATTACATAAGTGGTAAGAGGAAAATAATTGTGCAATGTGGAAAAACCAGAAAGCAGAAGAAAGCAAATTCTGATGAAAAAGCTCAACTTCTCACTCAAAGATAACAGGGAACTGGTTTTATATTAATACCACACAAAGAGAACTTATCTCTGCTTTTTGCTGAGAATAAACAGTAAAGGCATTTCATAGTATTGTCACATGGGAGAATCATAACGGAGACTAAACCATCCATAAAGACAGAGATCCTTTAATGGCCTGCTCTACATTTAATTTCTTTTACATCTCTGTTTAAGACTCACATCTTGATCGTGGGAATTTTTTCATCTCATGCATCTACTTTTCTTCACTGGGACACCAAAAACTCCCTTTAAAGAAAATCTAGATCAAACTCTTACCATAATATTATGTGTTGTTCACACATACTTTTTTTAAGTTTCCTTGGCCTCCATTCTATAATCTACCCCTTTTTATCAAACAAATCCCTCCCATAGATATTCATTCATCCTTGTATATCATCATCACACTTATTATAGCTTCTCACTAATGAGGTGTCTATTTCTACAGAACAGAGAAATTGTATTTTTAGCCACCATACATATTTAATTTAAATACTAATAATTTTTTGTTGTTGCTCACAAAGATTTCCTTTTTATAAGGTGATACACGTGTTTTTGTACAGATTGAGTCAGTTACAAGTGTGCCCTTCACCCAGGTGGTGTGCACTGTACCCAACAGGTGTGAATTTACTCATCCCCTCCCTCACCCCCAGCCTGAGGTTCATTGAGATTTACGTCCATCTGTGCACTTGAGTAATGATGGATTAGTTCCAATTTGGTGTTGAGTACATGTGTTTGTTTCTCCATTCTTGTGATGTTTCACTTAGAAGAGTGGTCTCCAGTTTCATCCAGGTTGTCGAAAAAGATACTAGATTGCCTTTTGGATTTTTTGTTTGTTTGTTTGTTTGTTTTTTACGGCTTAGTGGTATGCATATCTGGTAGGTTTGAATCCAGCGCGGGGCCTGCCAAACAACAATGACCACTACAACCAAAAAAACAGTTGGGTATTGAGGTGGGTGCCTATAGTCCCAGCTACTTGGGAGGCTGAGGCGAGAGAATTGCTCAAGCCCAAGAGTTTGAGATTGCTGTGAGCTGTGATGCCACAGCACTCTACCCAGGGTGATGGCTTGAGACTCTGTCTCAAAAAAAAAGAACATAATGTTATAGCTATGTTAAAAAGAATTTCAACACCATTAAGTTGGAGAATTATCTTTCTCATTGGGTACTTAGAATGCAGCCTAAATGCTTGGGTTCTTTTTTTAGTTTCCTCTAAAAGTGAATGCGGGATTCGGGATTGTCTGCCCAGACATCACTGCCCCCAAACTTGCACACGTGAACATCCACGTGCACACGTATGCTTACATATCTATGCCGTGTGTATGTGTCAGCACCTGTACCTTGTCAATATTGGAGTCTATAAACTCATCTAATTAGGGGCCAGCAAAAGGAAGAAAACACCCAAGTCTTCCTTCAACCTTCTCCTCTTCTGGGTGTCTGGGGGTGACGGAAGTCACCCTTCTTTCCAACAGAGTTGCTTTCAATACCCCTTCTCCACTTCTTCATCAGTAACCCCCTGGCTTTCACGTAGGATGCGGCTCATCAGAACAAAGACCACATTAATCACCCTGAAATCAGCGACAGTACTGAGTGCGTTTCTAGTGCTGCTCTTCTCTTTCTCTTTCTAGAAGGACCACCTCGGGAGGCAGAGCAGCTCTCACCTGGACTACAAGGCACAGGCACGAGGCCAGGTCCTGATGCCCTTGCAGCCCCCACGCCCACGCTGGACTGGACTCGCTAGGACTGTGGGGTAGACCAACGTTCTGCCTCCTGCCTACATTGGAGTAGTCTTCATCATGACAATTTATCAGGCCTGTCTCTTCTTTACTATTTTTGTCTCAATTTAAGTCTTCTGAATTTGTCCTCTAGGGTTCTGTAAATGGCCTCAACACTGTCCTTTCTCCCCCCACAGTTCTCTCCCTTCTCTATTTTTTATCTGCACTCCATTGCCAAAATAAACTAGAAAGAGCACGAGTCAGGTCATAGGACTGAATAGTGGAGTCAGAACCACAATTCACATCTATCTTGATCCAGAGGTAGGAATCTGGGAGATGCTGAGCACAGCTAGCAACAAAGGAGGAGAAGGGGCCGACTCCGTTCAGATGACAGACCAGAAGGGCACAAGGCCGAGAGGACTTTGATGAAGGTGAGGCAGGTGTGGTCCCCCAAATACTAATAATTGATCACTGAAGAGTTTCCATGAAAAAAAAAGGGCTTAAAATACATTCAAATTATCTTCGATGACTTCAGAAATCCTTTAAAAATATACATAGTAACAATAATAGCTCTACAAATCTCAAGCCTCTCAAATTTTCTCCACTTAAGTGTTTTAGTTAATGAAAATGAGAATGATAAAGAGAAATAAATAAAAAAAAAATACCTTTCTCTAAGACCACGGTTTTCCTGGTGATGCCTTGAGAGTTGAAGTATAATTGAGTATATCCATCTTCATCCAAATTTTCTAAATCAGAATGATATGCCATTGTTCTGGAGAGTCTCTGAGTAGATAAAGCATTTGGGAGCTCTTTCCCTTTTGCTTTTAAGATAACTACCTGTGGATAAAAGAAAATCTATGAGTCAAATCGTGTGGGATGGGCATTAGCTGAGGTTTAACAAGTTGGGTGTAAGTAGGCCAACCAGATACGCAAAAGCAGGAAATGAAAACTATGCTGTGGTAATTTCCCATCTGTGCCTCTAGATCCTGTTTCTGGTTCTACTGACTTTTAGGAAAATTAAAAGGCAGCATAGTGAAAAGGTCTTTGTTTCAGACTGAATATAAGAAAAAGTCACAGATTAAAGTCTTATGTTGCCTTCATTAGTCTCACAACTGAATTTGACATCATTAATTGACTCTGCCCATATAAAACTATTAAACAATTTTGGTATTTTGAATTAATCACACTTCGTCGTAACTATGCATTCACCCAGTTATTCCCATATTGTTTACTCAGTAATCACCTATTGGACACCCACCTTTTTCATTGGTAAAAGCTGGAGATAGATACAAGGAAAAATGATATCTGTAAGGAAGCCTAATAGAGAAAACCCACAGATAGGTATATGAAGGATGCCATGAGCAGGTGGGGGCATTATTGTAACAACAGAGAGAGCAACCGCGTCTCTTTGGGATTTTTCTGGGATTAAAAATCCAAAATACCGGCTCAGAGTCTGTAGCACAGTGGCTACGGTGCCAGCCACATGCACCAAGGCTGGTGGGTTTTAGCCCAGCCCGGGCTAGCTAACCAACAACTGCAACAACAACAAAAATAGCTGGGCATTGTGGTGGGCAACTGTAGTCCCAGCTACTTGGGAGGCTGAAGCAAGAGAATTGCTTAAGCTCAAGAGTTTGAAGTTGCTGTGAGCTGTGATGGCACAAAACTCTATCCAGGATGATATAGTGAAACTCTGTCTCAAAAAGAACAATTACAATGAGCTAGGTATTACACGTATTACATGTTCTCTTGCTCAATGTCAGTTTTCCAGGTCTATGTTGTAGGCATTATCATTCCTAGACAAAGAAAATTTAGTACTTGCTCAGGTTTTAGAAGCTAATTAAAAAATTGGAGCAAGGCATCAAAGCAAGGTCAACTCTGGCTGCAAAACTCATGATCTTTCCTGTTACACTACACTGCTTCCTTCTTTCATCATCCTCTACACCTACGTCGCAAGTAACAGTTTATGGAGGGCTCTCAGGCTGAAATATTATGCTAAATGTTTGATTGTTTCTTCTTCTGCTTTCCCTAGCAATGCTCAAATCAATAAAATATGGAGAAAACTCATCTTCGCTTTGCTGGAAACCACAGAGATGTCCAACCCATTTATGCAACTTTTTTTTTTTTTGAGAAGAAGGAAGAAGAAATGTATTACTTTGGTGCTAAAGGTAGAAAATTGGCAGATTCTTCATCTCAAAATACGGATTTTTCCTGGGCATAAGCAGAAACACAGAGCTTTTAAAAGGAAGAGGTTTTTGTCATTCAACGAAAGCTAATGATTCTTACCATCCCTTTTCTGTCTCATTTCTGGAAGTCCAGTAAAAGCCAACCAAAAATGTTTGCTGACAATTTCAAAATACTTTTACTTTACCAATAATGCTTTTTTTTTTTTGATAACCTGGTTTATTTGCCAAATATTATTCAATTCACATGAACAAAAAAAGCATTTGGGTTTGTTTAATTAATGTATGAGCACTCCTTTATAAGCCAGTCGGGAACCATGTAGACCCAACCAGAACACATGGACAGGCACAAAGCGTATCTAAACACATACACTCACACACATCCACATAGAGTTCTGATAGATTTTACTGTAGAACTCTAGCTGTGAGATAGTCTACAAGCTCAAGCTCTACACTTCAATAGTTCATTTAATAGCTACTTTTTTTTGAGAGAGAGAGAGCCTCAAGCTGTTCCCCTGGGTAGAGTGCTGTGGCATCATAGCTCATAGCAACCTCCAACTCCTGGGCTCAAGCGAGTCTCCTGCCTCTGCCTCCCAAGTAGCTGGGACCACAGGCGCCCGCCACAATGCCTGGCTATTTTTTGGTTGCAGCCGTCATTGTTGTTTGGTGGGTCTGGGCTGGATTTGAACCCACCACCTTAGGTGTATGTGGCTGGCCCCTTAGCCACTTGAGCCATAGGCACCGAGCCAATAACTACTTTCTTCTGCCTTCCAGCACTATATTAGATTACAGTAAAACCATTCCCCTTAAACATAGGTTCCCAGCTATTTTGATCACTCAGATAAAATTATTCCCAAAGGACTTTCAGATGGAAGTTTTACATATTGCAACAGAACTCACAAGAAACACAGACAATATAAAGAACTCTCAGAACAAAATGCCGGGGGGTCTATCAAACAAATGGGAATCCAAAGAGAACAAAATGCCACCCCAATGACTGTGTACCCCAAATGCCCTACAGGGTTGGGAGGTACATCCTTCCCGAATGGTGGCCTAATCACCCTACTTCCTGTGAACCGCAAATGAGTTCTAAATTCAAGCCAGGTTTCCTAGTTCTGCTGAACCTGTGACTTCCAGCTGGGATGGAAGTCACAGGTATCTCCAAACAAATTCAAACAAAATGCCCTGCCACCAAGCAGGAAGGTCTGTAAACCTCCCAAATGAGTGAAATGGGGGCCTTGGGGTGCAACCTGGGGAGCTTAGTCAACAAAAAGGCCCAGACCCTTTGCAACTCTGTTTCCTTCTCCTCAATTCTCAGGTCCCGAGGAACAACATCTACTTTGGGGAGACAGAAGCAAGTGTGCTCCTGAGCAAACAGGCCCTGGCAGCTGCTGAGACTGTCTCGTATCCTGTCACCCTGAGAAGGAGCTGCTGCTCCTAGTGCAGACCCAAGGCTCTGGCTGGCCCAGGCTGCTCCCTGCTGCTTTGGCAGGTGCCATTCCACTGGGAAGCCAAGGAGCTTGCCCAGGGAAGGTCAGAATCTGTTACCAAAACTTTAGTACCAGTTCTGGAGGCTGGATCAGAAAGAACAAGAACAAGTGGTTTCTGAGAAGAAGAAAAGGGAAATTTATTATTTTCCAGCAAAGAAGGGAAAATAGCAGACCATTCATCTCAAAATACTTCTTTCTCCTCCCATTTACCTGATTTTGAAACTAGCAGAATACAGGAGACATTTGAGTGTTGTCAAAGATCAGCAAACCCCAGTCAGTAAAGTGGTGAGGACAGAGTCCCCTCTGTAACACTTCTGTGGTAGGGAAGAGGGCTCAGCATGAATGGCACTCGACTTCCCCAAAACAAACAGCTGAAGAATTTCTTTCTTTTTTTTTTTTTAATTCCTCTTTCTTCCCCCCTGCCTTTTCTTTCTACACAAGATTAACATGGCTTAGTTTATGCTGCTTGTACTTTTCTTTTTTTTAACTTAATTTTTATTAAAGCATAACTGTATATACATTTACAGGGTGCAATGGGATGATTTGCTATACAATATGGAATGCTTAAATCAAACTGATTAACATAACCATCACTTTACTTATTTTTTGTGGTAAGACATTTATAATATACTCTTAGTTGTTTGGAAATGTAACCTTGCATTGTGCACATTAGGTGAGATCCCACCAAATACCCTCCCTCCACTGCCCTCCCCCCCTTCTCCCTCTTATCTCCTTCTTTCTGCAATATATTTGTATTTTATCATTTGTATGAATGTAAGTGATTATATATTGGTTTCATAATAGTATTGAGTACATTGGATACTTTTCCCCCCATTCTTGAAATACTTTTCTAAACAGAATATATTCCAGCTCCCTCCAGGTAAACATAAAAGATGTAAAGTCTCCATATTTTTATGGCTGCATAGTATTCCATAGGGTACCTATACCACAATTTGTTAATCCATTCATGGGTTGATGGACATTTGGGCTGCTTCCATAACTTGGCAATTATGAATTGGGCTGCAATAAACATTCTGGTGTGAATGTCTTTGTGGTAAAATGATTTTTGTTCTTCTGGGTAGATACCTAGTAATGGAATTGCAGGATCAAAAAATAGTTTCTCAGTTCCTTAAGAATTCTCCATACTTCTTTTGAAAAAGGCTGTATGAATTTGTAATCCCACTAACGGGGTAGAAGTGTTCCCTTCTTCCCGCATCCACACCAACATCTACAGTTTTAGAATTTTGCGATGTGGGCTAATCTTACTGGAGTTAGGTAGTATCTCAAAGTGGTTTTGATTTGCATTTCTCTGGTGATTAAAGGTGATGAGCATTTTTTCATGTGTTTGTTGGCCATTTGCCTGTCATCTTCAGAGAAGTTTCTGTTCAAGTCTCTTGCCCACAAAGAAATAGAGTTGTTTATTCTTTTCTTATTGTTTAATTTGAGTTCTGTGTAGATTCTAGTTAAAGGCCGGGTGTGCTAAGGAAGAAGCACTGAATGGTTCTAAGAAGGGTTAGTCATCATGACTAGGCCATCTGGATTTTTGAATTGGCATTTGTCCAGAGAATAGATAACCTTCTCCTATTTTTATTACTGCATGTTGAAGCAAAGCACCCAGCCCTTCCTTATCCTTCCTCAGCAACTGAGAGAGAAAGCAAGTGTTACCTGTCTAAAGGTTTTCATCAAAGAAACAGCTCTCGGGTTCTTCAGGCAATGGGCTGGGTGGTAGATTCACTTCTTAAGGAGTAAAGATTTAACACTGTGAGATTTCTCAAGCAACCATTCTAAGAGGAATTCAGAGGCTTATCTATCACCAAGCGTTGACTGGCTAAATTCTAGCAACACTGAGCTTCCTCAGGCTCACCTTTTAAGTAGTGCTGGGGCCCTCCCATAGACAGCATGGTAGAGTTTGTCAAGTTTCTTAGTACTGAGGAGGGGTGAGGGCTCTGCACCACTCACTGTCTAACATGTAAAAATGGAAGAGATCTCAATGGAGAGTAAATGCATGCATTTCTCCCCTTTGCCCCATCTGCCATAAAAATTGTATTAAGTTTTTATAAACTTGTTGCAAAGTAGTAATGTGGATCTTATCTCAATATTCATCAGTCTTCCATTTCTATAATGCAATGCCTGGAAAGGAGAGAGTTGAGGCTCAGGGCAGGCTACCCCCCAATATGGCAACTGGGTATTTGAGAAAACAGCAGAAGCAGGAAGATCTGCTTCTTATAATTTCCTTGCCTTTCTCCCCTGAAGCAGAGAAGAGATTCTCATTTGAGAGGAAAGAAACATCCTTATCTCTATAAACATGGAGACTCCAAGAAGAATCTGAATAAACAGGCCCTGCTAAGTTCCCCCTCCACCCCGCTTTATTGTGATTGTATTATATCCCCTTGTCCAATGTATGGGAGAAAAAATAGTATCTTTTCCTTACCCATCACAAGTTTCATGACTAAGACCTCTGTAACAAAAGACAAATTAACAAAAATATACACGTTTTACATGACGAGGGATCCTTCTGAAATGAAGACTCAAAGACCCAGGGAGAATCGTGTATTTCTGTGGCAGTTAAGCAGAAGTCTAACTGGGTGACAACAAGGTTATAATCTAATAATACTAAGCAGGGGTGAATTTAGCAAATACGATTTGCTCAGATTCCTTTCTATGTCTTTGTGTGACATTTCTTCCTTCCAAGGGTCGGGAAAGACACTTGCCATACGAGTGTCATCAGGGAAGAAGGGAGGGAGAAGATTAGAGAATGACCTTCGTGGTTTTCAGGCCTGTTTCAAAGGAGAAGAGCAAGGAGAATTTCAGTTTCCATGGCCTGTTTCAGGAAAAAGGGGCCAGGAGAGGGTCAAAGAGAAATTCTCTCTTCTGCAGTTTTCTCGATTTTATTTAGCTTAAAATACTGAGTATGCTGCTATTCATGTATAGCTGCTCAAGGGGCTGTACTTTGGGGCACTGTCTTCTAAGCCTTGACACTGATCATACTTTTCCCAAGACTGTCCACATTTAATTAAACCTGAATAAAAATACACAGGTTTCCCTGTTTCTTCAGGTATGTGCTTCCAGATGAGGGCTCCTGTGTCACGTAAAGGTTCTAGTAAGAGAATTTGTATATCTTTCTTTTGTTAATCCGTGCTTTGTCATAGATGCCTCAGTCATGAACCTAGCCTTGGTGAGGAAAAGAAATCTTTCCTCCTCTAAAAAGGGAAACCATGGCATTTTTCATAGAATAAATTAGTTACTCAAGGAAGAAGGGTCAGCCTATTATATAGAACAATAGTAAGGGGAATATCTTCCAGGCTAAGTAATAAGGCTGTCTTTTTACTATCAGTTGAGACTCTCTTTGGGAGAGTCTTTTCCTGTGTAATGACTTGTTTTTCCTGTGACTATTGTACAATGTTTAATCTCAATCCTACAAAAACAATTGACTTTCTAAATTGTCAAAGTTTTTCAACACAAAAACATTAGTCTCCTTTTTCTCTCCTTTTTGGGGCCTTTTTGTCTGAATAAAACAAACATTATTTTCCCAAATCATTCACGACCACAAAACAAAACCTTTAATATTTCAAGGCAATTGGGGCAGTAGCAAAGAGATTGTGTATTCAGAGAAAAGTATCCCTCGTTAAACTTGAAGGTAAAAAACAGTTGAAAAACAAACCAAACTATGTTAGGTGATGTTCTTTCTCGGAGGGAGAGAAGGATGGCTTGGCTGTGGGTGCAAGCTCGCTCCTAGAATTGTTTAAAAGCAAAAAACGACTACACACTCTTAGGTGGCATGTAGCAAAATGTCTTTATTTTCCACTCCCCTTTATTGGGAGCTAATCACATACACCACATTGATCAATAATCCTAACATCCTCATTTCCTATCTTAAACTATAGAAAAGAAAGAAAGTCTGGGAAAGTGAGATAGCCATCATAAGATTAGCCTAAAGAAAGAAAGTCTGGGAAAGTGAGATAGCTATCATAAGATTAGCCTAAAGAAAGAAAGTCCGGGAAAGTAAGACAACCATCTTAAGCTAGCCTCAGGCTATTCCTCTTGGAAGATCTAAAAGAACAATACATTATCTGACTTCTATTGTTAACGTTAAAGGTTAGGATAAACAGAGGAGTAAAATCTTTCTCTTTCATGTACTCAATTAAATTTCCAAGAAACTGGCTTCATGACTGTTTTATTATGGTTTTGGAGACCCTGCAGTTACGATGGAGTATTTTACTCACATCATTACGATGGAGTTTTTCTTTTTACTCACATCAACCTTTGAGTCATGTCCTTTGCACAGATGGGCCATTTCAAACATACCCCCCCAAAAAATCTAATTCATATTCTCAGTGAAATTTGATGAAAACTTCCATTCATAAACTAAGGTGGTGTTCCAAGAAATATGAGCAATCTGAGAAAAGAGTTCTTAGAAGTGTCAGGAAATTGAGACAAGAGAATCACCTAAGCCCAAGAGCTGGAGGTTGCTGTGAGCTGTGACTCAACATCACTCTACAGAGGGTGACAAAATGAAACTCTGTTTCTAAAAATAAAGGGAGTTCTTAGAAGTGAAAAACACATTTTATAAACTAAAAATATAATTAATTGGATTCTTTTGTAGTTCATAAGTGTGATGATTGGGTTTTCATGTGCATGTGTGAGACGTGCCTCCCACCAATCTTGTTCTAATGTTGGCACATTCCCTATTGTGAAAAGAAAAAAAAATAATAAAAATAAAAATATAATTAATTGGACCAAAAGGCAGAAGAAACTGCATTCAGAAGACTTGAGTCAGTCTGGCCACTAGCCGTTACATATACTAAGCTGTTGCCAACAATACAGTTTGCTCCCAAAATTAAATTTCAAAAGATAAAATTCTTCTAAAACGACTATTTATTTGGTAGGTTTACTAGCATGAGTAAATGTACAGGAGAGCCTGAGGTATATACCCAAAGTAACTTTTTGGAAAATTCTTATAAACAAATGGATAAAGAAAAATAATTTTCAAAAGGACATTTGGATTCAAAAGTTTATCACAGCATAATTGACAATTGCAAAGATGTGAAATCAACCTAAGTACCCTTCAATTCACAGGTGAATAAAGAAAATATTGTATATACACACACACAGAAGGTGACAGAATAGTGTATACACATTTTAAGAAAAAAAAATACTGCATTATAACTGTAATATTTGGCTTGTCACTAGGGTGACCAGATGTCCCGATTTTGGCGGGACAGTCCTGCTTTTCAACAATTTGTCCCGTGGCGCTTACGGGGCTGGACAAGAAGGGAATATATGGCTTTCCGCTGCCATATGACTATTTTGCCAGAATATGAGTTTTATATTATTTTTGTTAATTTTATAATGTTAAACTGTAATAAATAATTGCTGAGAAGTGATTATCGAAAACTGCTTATCAAAGTTTGCCTTGTTGTCAGGCCCTGCCCTGGCCCAACCCCTGCTGGGCTCGACCTCTGCCCCCAGCCATGTTGTCCTGCCTTACAGATGTTAGAATCTGGTCAACCTACTTGTCATCCTACTGTGAGTTGTGATGCCACAGCACTCTGCCCAGGGCAACAGCTTAAGACTCTGTCTCAAAAAAATAAATAAATAAAAAATTGTAATACTCAGTTCAGCACCTGTGGCTCAAGTGGCTAAGGCGCCAGCCATGTACACCTAAGGTGGCAGGTTCAAATTCAGCCTGGGCCCGCCAAATAACAATGATGGCTGCAACCAAAAAATAGCCCGGCATTGTGGCAGGTACCTGTGGTCCCAACTACTCAGGAGGCTGAGGCAGGAGACTCGCTTGAGCCCAGGAGTTGGAGGTTGCTGTGAGTTGTGATGCCATAGCACTCTACCCAGGGGGACAGCTAGAGGCTCCTGTCTCAAAAAAAAAAAAAAAATTGTAACACTCAATATGTGCCAATAATATTTATTACTTTGTATATTATATCTTGTGTCCCTTGTAATTACAGAAGTCAAATGTGAATTGAGTATTACAATTTTAATGCGATTTTTTTCTTGAAATGTGTATAAACTTTTTTGTCACTCTCTGTGTATACGTGTGTATATATACAGGTGGGTGCAAACATAGTGTAAAATGTAAAATAGTTTAACATAGTAAATTGCACATACATATCACCATGGAGTAATACTCAACCATAAAAAGGAATGAAATAATGTCATTTGCAGCAATTTGGATGGGACTAAAGGCCATCATTCTCAGTGAAGTTTCTCAGGAATGGAAAGCCAAACAACATAGTTCTCACAAATAAGTGAGAGCTCGTAGCTGGGCACACACAGGCACAAAGCAATGTGAAGGGCACGAGAAACCAAGGAGAGGGGAGAACGAGGCTTACATATCAAGTACAACGAACATATTCTGGTGGTGGTTACACCAAAAGCCCTGACTTAAGCATTACATAAGATATGCATGTCACAAAAGTATTTGTACCCCCTTAACTAATATTTTGAAATGAAAAAGTCAATAGGATTAAAATAATTTTTTAAAAAATCAGAAGGAGCCAAAAAAGAAAAAAATAAGTAAAAAAGGTGTCTAAGTATATTGAGATAAATGAATATATGAATTAAATAGAAAGCAATATTATTATAATAAAAACAAATGAAATATTCACTTAAGAATCATTGTAGGAAAAACATTAAGTCATCAGAAGGCAGCAACACTCCAAGTTACTTTCCTGTTTTCAGAAAAAAATCACCAAATTTCACCTCCAATTTGAATGCTAACTTGAAAGGATGAGAAAGCCTCTGTCTCCCTCCCGCCCTTCCTTTCTTCTTCCATCCATCCATTAGTCAATCACATGTCTACTGAACATTTACTACCTTCTCAGAAGCCTGGATACAAAGAAACAGGAGGGCTAAGCCCCATTCTTGTGGATTTCACATTACATTCTGGGGAGAAACATGTTGGACTGAGCAGAGCGCAAAATTTACTTTGCTTTGCTCATGGTACTTTTCAGTGTTTAACTTTACGGAGTTCTCCCACCTTCCCTCCCAGTCCTGAAACTCATGCTCTTTTCTTCTTTGCGACTTTGCTTGTAGCATCTAATTGCCACCAAATGGGCTGACCCCTGCTGGGTCTCTAGCGATGTCCCAGGACTCACTGCCAAGTGCACAGAGCATCAGCTCTTCTCAGTCCTCTCCTCCACAGGCCTTCGGTCTTTCCCTAAGTTTGAAGTTGAGGATGGAAACTACTTCCCATGAATTAATAGTTAGTGACATTTTGAGAGACATAAAAAGCAAAACAAGAAAAACCAGACAGGATGGTGTGAGACATTGTCCTAAAAGGCTTCCGTGGTAGTTTAACTCAAAGCCGAAGAGCATATTGGCAATTAATTTTAAGTGGAAGAAAAAATAACTTGACATTTCTTTTTTCTCAGGAAGTCAGATTGTAACGCGAAGCTAAACTGACAGAGCCAAAAAATAATCCAGATTCAGAAAGCAGCAGAAGCAGGGATTTTAATTGGGGCAGCGAGAAGAGAAAAAAATAAATGGGCACAACCAGAAGATGTGTTAATGAACAGTGGAGAAGACAGACGTGGGGGTTTGTGATAAAGCAGGAGACTTAGGAATAATGATGAGAAGGAAATGGGGGGGGGCAAGTTGGCTGAATAGAAACCTGTAGCGACCATCGCACTCGCTCCATGAACACCAAACTCAACAACTATCCAGGCAAACATGAACCTTCAGATGACCCAGCAATCAGGTCAGTGATCATCCTACTTGACTTTAACATTATAGCAAGGAAAGAGGCACCAAAGAGGGCAGAAGAGACATTCTGCATCACCTACCCCACACCCCACCCCAGTACTGTTCCCCTGTGCCCAGTGGAGAGAGAACTTGTGTGCCTGGGAAAGGGAGAGTAAAGTGATTATGGGGCTTTTCATTGACACTCAGGGCCACCCTGGCACAGGGGATCACAGCACAGGGTAGAATTTTGCTGGTGCCCATGGAGGGAACATTTAGACCAGCCTGACTGGAGAGAAATCCTCTGCCTTAAAATCTGGTTCCCCCTAACCCCTAACGCAGCCTGGGGCCTGGACAAAATTCATAAGCAGTTGGGCCACAAAGACTACTGTCCTTGGGCAACTCCTCTGGCTGTGCTGGCCCAGAGCCAGTGGACTTGGGGGTTCTTATGATCCAGTGAGACACAAGCAGCATGGCCAAGCCTCTGTCATCCCTCTTTCAACTCCAGGCAGCACAGCTCAGGAAGTGTCACCTTCCACTTGGGGAAAGGAAAAAGAAGAACATAGGGAATTTTGTTTTGAAACTTAAGTTCCAGCTCAGACACAGTAAAATAAAGTACCAAGCAGACTCCTGAAGACCCTGAGTCAGGGCTTGGTGCCTGTAGCTCAAGCTGCTAAGGTGTCAGCCACATACACCAGAGATGGCGGGTTCAAATCCAGCCCAGGCCTGCCAAACAACAATGACAAATACAACCAAAAAATAGTCTGGGTGTTGTGGCAGGCACCTGTAGCCCCAGCTACTTGTGAGGCTGAGGCAAGAGAATCGCTTAAGCACAGGAGTTGGAGGTTGCTGTGAGCTGTGATGTCATAGCACTCTACCTAGGGAGATAGCTTGAGGCTCTGTTTAAAAAATAAAAAAAGAGGTTTGGCGCCTGTGGCTCAAGCAGCTATGGCACCAGCCACATACACCTGAGCTGGCGAGTTCAAATCCAGCCTGGGCCCACCAAACAACAATGATGGCTGCAACCAAAAAATACTCAGGTGTTGTGGCGGGCACCTGTAGTCCTAGCTACTTGGGAGGCAGAGGCAGAAGACTCCCTTGAGCCCAGGAGTTGGAGGTTGCTGTGAGCTGTGATGCCATAGCACCCCACCCAGGGTGACAGCTTGAGGCTCTGTCTCAAAAAAAAAAAAAAAAAAGATCCAATTGTATGCTATTTGCAAGAAATTCATCATACCCATAAAAACACACATAGACAGAAAGTAGAAGGGTAGAAAAAGATATCTCATGCTAAC